TTGGTGCTGCAGGTGTAACAGTGTCTTGTTGTTGATGATGATGATGTTTTGGCTCAGATGGGGCTCGAATCAAAGGGACGTGCGGTTGTGCTAATGCACAGGGTGTGAAGATGATGCTGGTGAGTGGGGGCAGACAGTGTGCGTGTGTGTCTGTGTGTGTGTGTGTGTGTGTGTGGGAGGAGAAGTTCTATGCAGTGTGTGAAGGGATTACTGGAACTGAGGGTGTGTTTACAAGTCGTACATACAAGTTATTTTTCCTTTCATATATTTGAAATATTCATTTCAAATGAAAGGACGTTAGCAGAGCTGGATGTGTTTTTCCAGGTTCAGGCCCTTCACTTCCAGTTAAGAGAAATCTTCTCAGCATCTTAGACACCAGTGTTCATCTGACTTTCTGTCAACAGCTTGTAACCCCATGTTTGACCCCAAACACAAAGCAGCTCCATAAAGAAATGCTTTTCTCACTGTCTGTGGAGATTGTCAGTCATCCAACAGACAGGAGCGCTAACGAACCAAGTGACATCAACAGCCTTGATAACGAAAGAGGAATAAATACCTGGGTCTCCTCACCGGTCTGTGAGACCTGAAGAAGCCTCTCGGATAAAAATGTCTTCAAGTATCTACAACTAAAAAAACAAGTAATGGGAAAGATGAGAATTTCAAAGAAACTTGAACGTGGCAAACACGATGAGGTGGTTTGTAGCGACTTCCGGACACAAACTAAAAGTCGCTGGGAGGCTGAGGTCAGGTCTGGTTTCATTTGTCTGACACGCTACCAAAAAGATTAGCTGCCAGTCCAAAATACCTGGAAGACAAGAATAACCTTTATCAACAAAAGGATCAAATTATTATATCGTGCACAAAGTTATCATCAAAATATCCACAGCGGTCAAAAGAAAGTGGCGGTCAACAAAAAATACAACGACCCACTCACCCCCTCTCCCCCTCCAACACACAGCTGGACAGGAGCTCATATCAACTATTAACATCCGTGGCATCACCCATACCCATGTGACCCAACTCTCCACAATCACCACAACCGCACAAAAATAAATGACATTAATAACTGATATCAAAAAACACTAATGAATAACATTATATAAACCACAGAATCCATGGCTCCTACATGGGGGTTTTTCAGACTGCTGGACCAAGCAATATTTTGCAAAAGTGAAATGGAAACACTTTTTCCGCATTTAAGTCACATGACATTCAAAAACACTGCAGACTATTACCACCCAAAAAAAATCCCTGATCCGTGGCCACTGCCAGACGCAAGTTTGCCTGAACCACCTTCCCACCTCCTGCTGTCGAGCAGAGGCAGCATGTTTTCCTCAAGAATCACGGCAGTATTCATTCTCTCGTCAATGAAGAGAAACACCCCCACAACATAATGTCGTCACCACCAGGCTTCACAGCAGGTATGTTAGTAAATGGGCACTCACGCTTGTCTATGTACGTACTGTGTTCAGGTGTCCGTATACTTTAGCCGTGCAGTCTATATACCATAATGCTGAAAATGGTCAGACAGACACCTCCCTCTGGTAAACCTCTCACCTCCTTTAGTGTTTAGTAGAAAAGATGGAAGAGAGATAGTGTCTGGATGTGACAGCAGGCTGTACACAGATCAGCCACAACATTAAAAGCCAGCAAACTGTTTTTATTCTTGTGGCTGTATATATACACGCACACACACACACACACACACACACACACACACACACACACACACAGGTTTTAATGTTACAGTAACAGTAAACATGAACAATGTGCCCTGATCACCCTCACCCTCACCCTGCACCCACCTGCCTGTACAGCCATGCTCAGCCCGGTATGCTGCGCTCAGCTGTTTATCAGATGGAAAATCACAGCAGGGGACTGTGTGTGTGTGTGTGTGTGTGTGTGTGTGTGTGTGTGTGTGTGTGTGTGTGTGTGTGTGTGTGTGAGACACTCTGAAGGTGCCTGTATTTATCGACCTGTGTGAGGATGATAACAGCAGACACTCCACCCTCAGCCTCTGAGGCTGGACCCGAGACCAGACTTCAGTTGACATTGCTCTTCCTGACTCGTAATGATGCAGGATGGCTGACTTGATGGATGATCAGGCCTCAGCTGACTCAGAGCTCGGCTGCCGGACTGTCAACATGAGTCCTTTCAGACATCTGGAATCTGTGACAGTGTCTGTTACTGACATGTCTTTCTGGCATTCAGACAGAGGTGTGTGTGTTTTTATTTTATGTCTACTCAGATGTGACAGGGGTGTTACAGAAACAGGCACCTTATTAGTCAGCTGGTCCACAGAGGGAGGGCAGTCACAGCTGAGTATGAAGGAGGAAGAGTGTCCTCACTTCTCCCTCAGGATGATGGATTTTAGACATTTTTAAAAACGCCCACCGAAACAATCCAATATCTGTTTAAATGTACGCGTCATGTAGAATATTTTCAGCAGGTTGTCTTCCTGTGAAAACAGCACTACTTTTTTCAACTGCTGAACTTCTGTTTTCTTACGCACAAGCGCACCTATGGAGTACACTGTATTACGCCGCATCCGCAGGTCAGCTGAGTGAGTTTAAAAGTTGTGTGCACCAGCTTCAACAACTGAGCATTTGTATATGTGTGTTTGTGTGTGTGTGTGTGTGTGTGTGTGTGTGTGTGTGTGTGTATTGTTGATACATGTAACCCAGACTCTTGTAGCCATGAACTAGCTAACAACAACTTGTATGAAAGATATCTGCATAGACACAATAAACCTGATTTCAGTTTGAAGACTCTGAGTACCGAGCAGGCTGCTGTCTCAAAAATAAATGAAGTCTCTTACCTCAAACTTAGTTTTTTCCTTCTCAAATTGCCCGTGTCTGTCACAGGGAGCTACTTCCTCTCATGTGGAAAAAGGACTACACTGAGCATAGAGTGAACCAGGTGATTCGTACCTTGTCCCTGAATGGAACAAGGCCTCCCCTACATTTTTTTAATCATTGTGTTTAAGCTACTGTTATTGCTAGTATTTGAAATAGAGGGTAAATACTGACAAAGTCTCAGGTGGCAGATGTTTACTTTTCCAATATTTAATGCAGCTCTCTTTAAAAAAAAATGACTGTGAGATGTTTGAGGTAAATATTTAAAGTCAGCTCTGTTGAACTCTCTTCAGCTGATCTTAAGGTATTTGCTCCGGTTACACCAGCACAAAATATTCTTCACTTTATAAATACATTTCCATGTGAGGGAGGGGCAGGTTTCCACGTCTGCCCAGGGAGAAAATGAAATCACTTGGGCTTTAGAGGACACATGCATTCTCTAGGTAACCACGTCAATTTCCCTCCACACCTGCAACCTGCAGAATAACCTGCCCACTCATCCCGTCCCTCTCTCTCCCTGCGTGTCTCCCGTCGTCTCCCCTCCTCAGATTTCCAGGCCTTTTGGAAGCAGGAAGCAGCTTTGTGTTGTGTCGTGTCGGCCTGTTTTAATTGGCTCAGGTAAAGCCGGGAATTACAGCAGCCTTGTCAAAGATGTATCAGGTTTAAGCCTCGCCTTTCAAAGACAGGAATTTTCAGAGGCCCCTCATTCTGAGCTGCTCCCAGCTCAGGACTGGTGTGTTGTGTGCTTCGTTTGCTTTTTGGACAGATAAAGGGCCACACTGTTGCTGTCTTCATGCACTGATGCAGAACAAAAGCCATGTGGGAACATTAATCTAGTAAATTAGGTTTACAAGAGGACATTGTTTGGAAGTGGAACTTGTCCATAACTGATAATCACAGTGTGTTTAACCCATAATGCACTGCACTCCAGAAGAACTGGAGCACAGTATATGGAATATATAAATGCACATGCACCCAAAAGGATTTTCTAACACCATGAGCACTCACTCAAAATTCTGTGTGACCCAGAGTCACCTCACATCATCTCAATTCAAACCAGCAAACACACAGTTCACCCACGTCCCGTCAGCACAGAGCTAATCTGACTACTGTGACCTGTGGAAAACCTGTGGACCCACAGCGGCTGTGTGGTATATGTAGTGAGTATCAGTCAGTCAGTCAGTCAGTCAGTCAGTCCAGCTGCAGCACAGGAGCAAACTGAGTGAGGACAGGGTTACTAAAGGTCACAGAGCAGAGATAAAATACAACCCTTCAGCTCAGCAGAATGTCCATGGTTTAGGTTTGATCGTTAATGACTGTGGTTCAGATCCTGTAGATCAGTGTCAGTGACAGACTTGTCTGGTAATTGGTCCATAACTCACAATTAAAATTACCACACAGTGAGGGTAATACTACAGCTACAATACTTGCCCCATAGATATGGCTGATGCTTTATAAAACACTGGATTATTGATGAGTGCTGATGTTGGCTGATTTCAGAGTTGTTTCAAGTAATGAAACAAATTGTGGCCACAGTTCACTTCTTCTAATGGCGACTTCCAGCAGGATAATGCAGATGTGATGCAGTCATGTCGACATGGGGCAGAGTCTCAGAGGAAAGTTTCCAACCAAAGGGGGGAACTACCCACTACTTGCTGGGGTTCCTAATAAAGTGCTTGTTGAGCCTACTTGCTTGTAATACACATGAATGGGATTAAATGTAAATTTATACATGGAATCTTCTAGCATTTTTCATTCATGCCCGTCCAGACCATCAGCTAGCATCTCATGCCATGAGCAACTTGCGCTCCTGTCATGTGGATTAACCAGGTCAGCGCTCAAGCAGCAACAGGGAGGAGCTGCATCTCTGTTCTCTGTAGATTAGATGCTGAGCACAGCTCGTTGCCAGGTAAACACATTAAGAAACAGTGGTGAGTGTTTGTTTTTAAAATGCTGACTTTTTCATCTTTCAGTAAGGATGTTGTTCAGTGTGGCAAACTATCTCTTTAATGTTATTCGAAGAAAGCTCTACTGTGTGTATCCACTGTGCCGAACCTCTAACCACTCAACAGAAGCATGTCCAGCAAACTATATTTTGTCCAGGTGTTACAACATACAGTAATGCAGAGCAGCTTTCTCACTCACCGCTCAACATCCCAGATGCGAAGAGGGGAGAAGTTCTCGCAGCACGCCGTCCCTGTTACAAAGGAGCTGCACAGAGAGAGAGAGAGAGAGAGAGAGAGAGAGAGAGAGAGAGAGAGATGGTGAAACGTCTCACAAAAACTAATTAAACCATCTGAAATAAGATTCTCCAATGAAACCTAAAGCAGCGGAATAAATATGTTATCAACCAGACTTTATCATTTATACCTCAGATAGATGATATCGACCAAAAAGGATTCATCAATCACACAAACCCAGCCCTGTGTATGTACGAATAAAATCAGATATATGTTCATGCAGGCAGAACAGACACATACAGAGGTGTCACTTTTGGTTTTAACTGCCACATTTACCACCAGTCAGTCAACCATCGCCACCAACATGACCTGACCTGGCCAACTCTTAACTTCACGTCTCCTTTCCAGAAGTTTGTTGGTGACATCTTATTGGACGGCTGCACACTGGGGCTCCAAGAAGTAATCATGCGCAATTAATCGAAATCTCAATATGGCCCAGTGCAATATCCAAATCACACGAGATGCAATTGTTTTGATGAAAGTAAAATGTGTCCGATTGTGGAGCATTGTTAGCACCATTAGCGCTGTGGTGCTACGGAGACGCCCAGACTACAAATCATACAAATCATCATCATTTTTTTTTGCATTATCTTGCAGCCCTTGTATTTAGTAATTATATGATTATTTTCTCAATTATTTGGGGATTTTTTTTTTCCAACAGATTTGTCCATTGGTCCATAATATTCCAATCAAGATGCCATTTTGAACCTAATATGACGGACAGAATCACTGCCCTACATTCAAAACACTGCTCCAACACTTCATAGATCTGCTGAAATGAAATATTTATTCAGGATTACTGTGACCAGTAAAACTTTTTTTTTTAAATATGCCCTCTGACAGTTTTTGATCCATCAAGTCCCACCAAGTATTGAGTGTTCTGACTTCATAAACAAAGATGAGTATAAAGACAGAGACAGTAGATCCACAGCAGCCTGGGACTGCAGCCTGTTCGTCTCTGTGGAAATTGTTGTTAATGACAAATAAGTGTCGTCAGAAAAGATCCTCTGCTGTCACTCAGCAGCACAAACCCTCGTCCCTGCCTCCATCCACCACACATTGTTTCCCAGCAGAAGAAAAGAGAAGAGAACTACAACACTCATGATCCTTTGATTGGAGTGGCAGATTGGAATTAGCAGCCTAGGTATGCACAGTGAATGCCACGCATGTGGAGAGGTGTGGGAGTGGTGAAAGGAGAGGGGAGGAGCGCTGTGGGAGAGGGCTGACGGGGTGTGTTTGCCTGTTAGAAGCTATGTAGAGGGTTGGGTGGTGACCAGGGGTGCTGGTGGTAGGGGGCTTCTGTTGGGTAGGGCCGGAGTCTCAGGGCTTAGTGCTCTCCTACAGGGTTGATGGACAGGGGGGAGGGCCCACCTTTTACAAACAGAGAGGTAGTTACTGACAAATGCTGCTGGCTGGATGAGAGTGCTGGAGATGGAGACACAGAAACTGATGCATTATCACGAGGGAGGAGGGAAAAGGTCCCCTTCAAAGATACACACTGAAATGCAGTTTGACGATGAAAAAAACTCCAGTATGGTTCCCCACACTGATCTCCCTCATCACTTCACATCATCTATACATCAAGCCATATGGGTAGAATTCCTGCAGGAGGTCGGGTTTTACACACTGACACCTCTGAAGCCACTGAACGTGCCTGTAGAGGGGCCCCGGCGGCTCACCTGGTAGAGTGCATACCACTTAGGCTTAGTCATCCCCTCGCTCTCCAAAACCTTCCTGTCACTCTCTCACTGTCCCAATCAGATTAAAGGCAAAAATCTGCCCAGAAAATAACTTTAAAAAAAAAAAAGCAAAAAACAAACAAAACAAAAAACATACTAGTTGTCTGTAACTTCCAGCACAGACACACGAGGACAGGTCTGAGGCCAGATGGACCACATCAGATACAAGAGAGATACTGAAGCTAACTGACACCAAAATGAAAATTCACACAATGACTGTAGAACTGAAAATACAAACAAGGTTCAGGTGAGTCTGAAAAAAATCATGAAAACATCTTTTTATCCCTGCCAATGCAATTCACATTAGATAAGAAGCAGGTAGGCAGATTAGGGCTGCAGCTAATTTCATACAAAACTTTAGCACAAACACAATTAATCATGAAACCATTGATTATCAGTTAAAAACCAAAGGCAAGTTTGTTAGCTGTTTTAAAGAGTTGGAAAAAATACAGATTCAATTTAAAATTATATGAAACTCAGAAAAGAAAAGTAACAAATGATCAAATTACTTGATAAACTAACAGAGGTGACAAAGTCCTCAGCTCCATGGAGTCAGAGTACAGATCCTCCTGGTCAAATATTCCTCCAATACAAGTGAAAGTGCTTCAGTGTTTTTACTTGAGTTAAAGTACTGGAGAACTAGATTTTAAAATACTTTCTCCTGTGATGAACACAGTGTATATTACCTCATTTCAAAATAAAATAAAATTCATTCACTGTGCTTCAAAGTGAGAGTTCTTCATACAAATGTGGTGGCGTCAAAAGAACAATATTTGTCTTTTAAGTGTAGTGGAGTAAAAGTCAGGGAAAGAAGAAAATATACTACAGTATAAGTACAGGATGCAAGTTAATGTACTGTTACTATTCACCCCTGTAAACTAATTGATTATCAGAATTGCTTTAATTTTTGTCTTCCAATTAAACCATCCACTGATATAATTTCAGCACTAATACACAAAAGCCTGGGCAGAGTTCCAGGGGATATAAACACCTTGCTCAGGCGCACACCTGAACTAAACCAAGTTTAATTCAAAGGTATATATTGGTCATCAAATCTAAGCATTGTTTTATTGTCTTGTCCATATGACAACAGTGGTTGTGGTGTATTATCTGTATCCTGTTTTTACACTGTTAAGTATGAATCATTTTGTTACTCTTCAGGTTATAGAAGAAAAACTGACATCACTGCTAACAAGTCATTTTGCAGATAGACCAGATGTCCTCCTGTAGATGTGTATGGGTATAAGAAAATTCCACAGATAGTTTCAGGGACTGACTGTATGTATATACAAACCAGAAACCACATTTATGTTGACCCCGAGGTTAACTCCCTGCCTGTAAACCACAGTGAAGGGAAGGAAGCTATTAGCTCCAGCTGTGGTGGAGCAGAGGTTAGGAGCCCCGTCAGAATCCGACACGAGTCTGAGCCTTCACTTCTCAAACAAGACATCCAGTGCTGCTGTCCTGTCGTCACATCACACCTTCTCTTCTCTGTGTGTGCAAACTGAGACGAAGCTGAACACTGACAGTGAATTGCATTAGAAAGTTTAAAAAGTAACAATATGATAATGTATTATTGTAAACAAAAGCAGATTCTCCTAATTTGGAAAAGGGTTTGAATCACAGATGCTTTCTATTTTGTTCAGAGCACCATGTTGATGATGATAATATACTTCATCAGAATGTAAAATGTAGTTTCAGCTACCAGTGGGGGGTACATATCTCAACAATGACACACTCAGTTGTGTCCTGATTGGCTGAAGGTGTCATTTGGAAACTTTAGGAAGGATCTTTTCAGGGTGAGTATGAACAGGGGAAATGATTCTAGCCACCGATGAGAGCTGGTTTTAAAATCTGCAGTCTTATAGGATCTAATATCTGATTGGATCCAAAGCTCCGGAGCAGCTACAGCAAGATGGTTTTGTCACCACTTTAAAAAGCCCTGTGTAATTAATGTGATCATTATTATTATGATGTTCTCCAGGTTTGGCTACGTACAGACTGTTCTGACCTCTGCTCGGTAAAGATTTTGTTTGATTTTATTTCTATACCCGTATAAAATTGCTAAAATGGAAAGAGTTAACAAGAAATGAGGCGAGGAGAGGGCGAGAGAGAGAGAGAGAGAGAGAGAGAGGTCCCTGGTCAGAAACCTGGAGATGTTGTGATTCAGGGTCAGCACCTTTGGGCCCCCAGGTTGCCCCTGATTGATAAAGGCTGGCGGGGCCTGAAAGAAAGATCTACTGACACTACTCAGCACAGAAGAGAGTGCTGCATGAAGTCATCTAATCTGTGTTTCCATTTTCATTTGCTGTTCTTCTAAAAAAAAAAAAAAAAAAAATGCCAGGACTGACCAATCAATCAATAATGGAGAGTGCTCTTTTTCGTAAACATGCAAATACATCATCTATTACAGGGTCTCTAATTACAGATGTTGCATTAATATGACAAAGCCTTTATTAGACATTTGGTGGTAGAGAGCTGACTGGAAAAAAGGGAGGAAAGCAGCAAAGGTCTCAGGTCAGACCAGAGCAGCGATGCCACATTTATTAATGGCCACGAGGCAGTAAACCCAATAACCAATTTCATAATGTGTTATTTTCTAGATAAAGTCATGAACTAGTTGCTTGAATTTGTCCAAACTCCAGCAAAGTAGCAAAACTAATGTCACATTTTGTGCACATTTTCAATCCAAAGTGTGGCTTCTGGAGTTATTAATATGTAATACCTCACCAAAGTCCTTAATAACATACTGACTGTAAATTGAAATTGAATTGATCCAGCAGGGCTCAGGACGGGTTCTCTGTGAGGGAGACAGGACTGTTACGTAAACGGCCACGCAGCCGTCCAGACAGAACCAGACAGAGCTGTGACTGAGGGATGCTGCTGGCATCAACACGCACATGTGCTGCCAAGGGGAGTGGTGATGAGTGGTGATGGGATATGTGTGTGTGTGTGTGTGTGGAGCTTCAAAAGGGTGGCAGGACAGGACAGAGCTGGTGGGGGTGGGGGTGGAGGGTAAGGGTGGTGGTGGTGGTGGTGTGTGTGTGTGTGTGTGTGTGTGGGGGGGGGTCGAGGACGTCTAAGTGAGGCATAGAGGCAGCTGTCAGGCCTGTTAAGCAGTGCAGCCCATTGGCAGGCCCCCAGTAATTAGTGTTGGGTAAACTCATTTATGGCCCAAATGGGTCGGGCAGGGCCAGGACCAGTATGCGTGGTGGGTGACCTCTGACCCGTT